AATTATCAATGATTCTTAGTATGATATTTCTATAAGGGATATCAGAGCGCGACGACACGGCAGGTGGGACATACGGCTCGCCGCGGCCGGTGAAGAAATTGGATGATTGCTCGCGGACCTATCTTATAGGCCAGAGAGTTGGGCCGTTTGGCATACGGAAACGAGTAGCTCCGTGTGTGCGTCCGTGTACGTGTGCGTCCTTCCATTTTATTCGCCGACTGCTGCGAGCCGTATGTCTCGCCTGTTGCGTCGCGCGTTCTAATTTGTCCAACTATTTTAATATCTTGAAATTTTACGTGGTTGTTTGAAAAATCACCTACAATTTTTGTTCAATTTTATGTGTTCTACTTATATTTTTCTTTTGGTCCGTCTTTCCTTATAGAAATATCATACTAAGAATCATTGATAATTACTTATTATCCAGTATTTTTAATACTGAAAATAAGTAATTATCAATGATTCTTAGTATGATATTTCTATAAGGGTTATGCGGGACATCCTGTATAACTTTTATTATGTATCTCTAATTATATAAATATATTATATAAATATTATATATTCTTATGTAATATAATAAATACAAATTTGATATCAAATTATATAAATATCTTATTTTGTGTTCTTATATTTTCCTTGCAAATCAGATTTTTTTCTTGTTACTTTAAAAATTGTTCATTTTTATATTATAGCAAAGTTGTATAACTTTTTTTTTTAATGTAATAATTTATTTGAAGAAAAAATGAAAAGTCTATTATTGATGATTAAAGAAATATATTTTTCATGTATTTCAATGATAACTGCAATTTATGATCACGGACACATACAAAATATCTTTCACATGGTAAAATAGAAATCACAAGCATATGATAGTTTAATAATTTGTTTGGTCCTGGCGGCGCTGCAGATGTTGACAGACGTTTTGCTGCAGACACAAGTTAGCGGCTAGCAGTCCATGGTCATATAGTCAAAAGACGTTCGACACTCCTATTTAAAGGCTCCTTAAGGCTGAGTTCTCACTTAGCGCGTCACGCGTCGCGTGGTCCGAGTTAAGCCAATCAAATCGTCCCATTTTATTCGGCGTAAAGTTATGGCTCCTGCACACAGGACGCGGTAATGCTTGCCACGCGGCGGAAGTTCGCGCGACAGCCAATCAATATGCTGCTTTCCATAATAACCTTCTAGCTCTTACGGTAGATAACATATTGATTGGCTGTCGCGCGGATTTCCGCCGCACGGCAAGCATTACCGCGTCCTGTGTGCAGAAGCCATTACACAATAAAATGGGGCGATTTGATTGGGTGTATATCAGTTGAACACGGGGCAATTGGACACAGTCCAATCACAAGTCGCTGTTCCAAGGGACCCTACAAATGTCTCTAATCACACGGTGCTGTGATTGGCTGTGTCCAAGTGCACCACTCCCATTTGATTGACTTAACTAGGACGACGCGACACGTGACGCGCTAAGTGGGAACGCACCCTAAGGCTGAGTTCCCACTGAGTGCGTCACGCGTCGCGTCGTCTGCCTGCGTCACAAGTTAACCAATCAAATCTTCTAATTGGGATGACGTACGCACGACGCACGACGCATTTGTTCCAATGGAACGATTTAATTTGTTAACTCGTGACGCAAGCAGACGACGCGACGCGTGACGCGCTCAGTGGGAACTCACCCTAACACTTTAAAGCCCATTCTACAATTGCGTCAAC